ACTGAAGGCCATGTGGTTTTGCTTCTCCCGCGTTGTGCTGGTCATCCAGGCACAGGGGAGGGGACTGAGACTGCCTCGGAAGTAGACTCTGCCTCTAAAAAGGGCAGTGAAGGGCTCGGGAGAGCATGTGGAAGGGAAGATATTGCAGCGATCTTTACAAGAATACGATCTGGGGGTTGAGGCGTGGACTCTGGCGGCTTGCTTTCTCGTGTCTCCTTTCTCTCTCTCGCTCTCTAGTGTGCGCACATGCTCTGTAGCATATTAAAAAAAAAAAAAACTCTTCAAAAAAAAGAAAAAAGAATGATTTTATTTATTTATTTATTTATTTATTTTAACTTGACCAGAAAGAGACACACAGAGAGAGGGAAAGTGAGAAACGGAGCCACCAGGGCCAGGACTCAAACCGTGGTCAGTCATGTGGGAGTGTCCAGTACCTTAATCACCATGCCACCTGCTGGCCTAACACATTTTCCATTCTTAAATAAGCTTTATTTGTTGCTTATGTCTGGCTATGGCTTTAAAAGCACAATATAAATCATACCAAGAACAAGAGAGCAATCCTCACATGGACTAGTTCATTTAACTTTGCTCCATTCACCTTGGCTAACATCTTCCTAGCTCTCTATACAAGTGGAACCTAAGGGGCAAGCATAATTCTTATTAGAACTCCAGGACCTCAGGTGCGGCAATAGCCTAAGAGCCATGCTGAACACAAATCATTTATGTGCTCCAGGGACAGCATTATCATTACATACATTACCAACAAAAAAGACTTCAAAAACAAAGAAATTGTCTTCTTTGATGTTAGACATATAGATGAAAAGGTTAAATGTTGGAAGAAAGCAAAATATAAAATTTTAATCCTCAGAGCAGTCAGGTCAATAATTATGAATTCTTTATAGTTATTAGCATCATAAAATAATTTACTCAGCAAATATTATATGCAACACATTATGCCAGGTACCATAATGGAGAATAGACAATGAGGCACTCTCAAGAAATATACAAAATAGTTCAGATGGCAAGATGCAAGTATTTGAAAATACTGCCAACAATACATAATAGTATACAAAATGTGCCAAAATAAATGGGACTGAAATGTACCAAGAAGAGAAGAGAGATTACGTGTACTTGGGAGGCTATCCATCTTCAGTCTCACACTGGACACTGGACCTGAGTTAAGCCTTATGTTTTCAACAGGAGTTATTAGATTGAATCATGTGAAATTGTTTTTAATTGGTCAAAAATGTTGAATACCAGCAATTTCATATGGTCCAACCCAATAGCTCAGTACATGAGAAGAAAAAAATATATAGGGCTTATTAGAAGTAGAAATCTAGGTGGCCAATAGGTGGCATGGTGGTCATGCCACTCCCACATGGTCAACCGCAGTTCAAGTCCCAGATTTGGCAGCTTGCTTCCTCACTTTCGCTCTCACTCTCTCTGGTCAAATTTAAATAAATAAATAAAGTTAAATAAAAAATTCTTAAAAAAAAAAAAAAGTAGAAATCCATACATTGGGTTCTAGCGTCTGATACAAAGGAAGTTATTTAATAAAGCTCCAAATAAAGTTGCATGACACTCTTTGTTTTCAGTTATTTACTTCAAAAGAAAAATGCATGGAAGATCACCAAAAAGGTCATTACTTGGAGTTAGGGACTACAAATCTTTTTAAAAATTATTATTTTATTTATTATTATTATTTTTAAGTTTGATATAGAGTATGTGTGCTTACCAGAGAGACAGAGAGAGCACGTGAGAGAGGGAAAGTGAGAAAGCCAGCCACTGGGTCCGGGACTTTAACTATTGTTGGCTTTGTGGGAGTACAACACCCAGAGCACCATGCCACTTGCTGGCCCCTACAAGTCTGTTTTTTAATTCTAATAAAAATCCTTTCAGATATGTATTTCCTTACTTTTCACATATAGAAACTGATGCTCAAAAAACCTTACCAGGTCACAGCAGTGAAGAGGGGAGCTGCGAGGGACTAGTAGATGGCCTATTGGTTACGTCACTGGACTCCCACATAGTTGGCCACGGTTCAAGTTCTGGACGTGGGGGCTTAAAACTCACACTGGGCGCGTGTGCGTGCGTGCCCATTATCCTGAGAGGAGAATGGAGGAGAAGGGATTGTAGTGTGGCCATCCCCTCTAGGGGGTGTTTTCTCTCTTTGTGTCTCTCCAGTGAGTACATGCACCCTATAGCAAAACTCTCTCTTAAAAAAAAAAAAAAGAGAGGAGTTGGGTTACAAACAAATCTGACTCCCTCACTGTTCTCTGTCCCAGTGTACCAGACCTGAGGAGAAAGCTAATCCTTGCCTACCTGTGAAAATAATTAAGTGATTAACTTATGTTTTATCTTTCATTTATATGTGATAAGGCGATATAATTTTTTTCCTCATTAGTTCATTAAAATCCTATAGATCACATACTGTGTATGCATGGGAAATGCCTTTCTTGTTTTAATCTATTCAGTATTTTGGATTATTCCTTAGAGGAAAAAACAATTCAGATAAGTACTATAGCTCTCTTATATGCTACAGAGTTGAGGTGAGAATAGTTTTGCTTTATATTTCTTTAAATAATTCTCAGATTGTTTCCAACTAAGTTCTCTATCCATATATCTGTCTAGAAAAATTAGTCTGTCCTCTGCAATTCTCGATGTGCTATTGATTGCAATATTAGATTCTCAAATGGAGGATTTCAAAGACATCTAAACTATTTCACTAAAATCAAGATTCTCCAACCACAAGGTTGATGTGTTATGTTTTAAATTAGTTTATATTTTTCCTAGAGGTATGTCAAATGTCTTCTAACTAATTGCGAGAAGTTAGATTATTCCCATCATGTTATGTTTGCAATTCAACTTGAAGACACAGAAGAGTAGCTACACGTTTAGAACTTCTTTCCTTTTTCATTAAATTTCTTTTATATATCTTTTGATTGATGCCAGAAATCTAAGATGTTTAAAGGGGGAAAAGTGCAAACTTAATAAATCTCAAGACCCTGAAACCTGTTTACTGAAAAATAACACTGGACCCAGCCACAATGACACTGGTTGACACTGCTACTCTGCAGGCTAAGGATATGGGCGAGTCCCAAGTTCAACCTACCCTAAAAAGCCAGATGCAGTGACATATGATTGTAGTCCCAGCTGCTTGGAAGGTTGAGGCAGGAGCATCATGACATAGAAAGACCCTGTTTAAAATACATACACACATCTCTCAAATAAATAAACTAATTAAAAATAATACTAGAGGGACCAGCAGGCGGCATAGTGGCTAAGGTCCTGGATATTCCCACATGGCTGACCACAGTTTGAGTCCCAGACCTGGTGGCTTGCTTTCTCACTCTCCCCCCACCTCTGTGTGTCTCTCTGATCAAATTAAAAAGTAAAATGAATGAATAAATAAAAATTTCTTTAAAAAAATAATACTAGAAAATAATGATTTAGTTATTTGATTTTGGATTAAAGAACTAGGAACCAAAATTTAATTTTAACTGTGTTATGAAATAATATAAAAATTATTCTCCTCCAGGCACATCAAAGATATGATCTATACCACTGAGATATCAGAGTAATTTGAATAATGTACATACGGGACAGATACTACTGTCTCATTTTTAAAAACTGCCCTGCATACTACCAATCACTACTTAACCCTATATATATGATTTAATATTTCTCTCTCCACAGAAAGAATTCTGACACAAACTATCTTCTAATAGAAAAATTATTGTCTCACTGCCTCTGGAAACCTTTTGATTAACTATGGCTTCGTGGCCTCTAAAAACTGTTTTAACTGCTTATTTTGCTTATAACTGCTGAGCTTTGAAACATGACCCACACGTGAGCCAGCCAGTGGCGTGGTGGTTATGAAGCAGAGGCAATGCCATTTTTGACCTTTATGTTCCTTCTTTATATTAGATACTTGCTTCTTCCTTTTTGCCTGCTACTCTGCAGGCTAAGAACACAGGGAAGTCCCAAGTGTAAACAGCGTGACTAACATTTTTACTGTCTTCGCTAAATAGTTCATCAGTAGCAATGTAATCACCAAACACCAGACCCCTTGCCCTGAGCCATGAAGTCATTGTGTTTAGGGAAAGGTCTGGAAAGTGCTCCTAGAAATTATTAACTTGCTGATTTTAAAGCTGAGGTGTGTCCTGGTGTGTTCAGGGAAGCTATGCTCTAGGCTCCATCTCCTAGACTCGCGAGATATTCAGACAAGGTAGGGCGACCTCGGTCTTTTCTCTGTGTCTGGCCGTCTATCTTTGTCTGTCTCGCACTCTCTCTCTTTAAATTTTTTTTTTTTTTTTAGCTTTTTGACCACTTCTCCTCACCTTGGACCTTTTCTTTCACTTGCTAATTCCAGAAGCTATTATAAAGCTGAGGTGTGTCCTGGCTAGTGCACTGCACGGTTTTCATATATTTACGTGTAAAAAAATTTTTTTCTCTTTTTTGGCAGTATTTATCTAGGTTTTATTTTTGCTTTTTGCTTTTTTTTTTTTAATCCTTACTTTCCCACTCTAAGCTTCACTCTCCACACGCTGAATGTCTAGATAGGCCTAGGTGCATAGTAGCCAAGCATCTGAATACTTTTAGGATCACTGAAATCCTCACCTCTTATTGAACCTCCTACTTTAATGAAGAAATTTCTTTTTATAAATCTGAACTTCTAATCTTTCTGTGGATACCTCATTGCAAAGCTCAATAGATTTTTGTCACAAAATGACTAGAAACAACCACAGGGGCACAAGAAACATGAGAAATCAAGAATATATCTCTCCCCTAAAGGAAAAGAACAATCCCTCATCATCCACAGACAGTACAGTAGATCTTATGAAACTGTCTGATTGACAATTCAGAATATTCATAGTGACAAAGCTAAATGAGATGCAATAGCTGAGAGATAATGAACTCCAGAAAATGCAAGAGAAAAGAGACGAGTTCCAGAAGGTGTTGAAGTTCTTCCATGACCTGAAAGAGGAAATGCATGCCATAAAAAAGAATCAAATGGAGCTATTAGAAATGAAAGATGCCATTCAGGAAATCAAAACCTCCCTCGAAAGTATTAAAAGCAGATTAGTCCATGTAGAAAATCGAATCTTATATGTTGAAGGCAAAACCTCTAACGTAGAAAAAATAGCCGAAAAACTGAGAAAATAACTTAAAAAAATGAGAATACTATACGAGAAATACTAGACAGCATTAAGCACCCAAACATCTAGATAATCGGTATCCCAGAAAGTGAAGAAACTAATAAGGGTATTGATAATCTATTTCATGAAATCCTGGAAGAAAACTTTCCTAACCTAGAGAGGCATGCAAATATCCAGACCCAATAAATACAAAGGACCCCTAACAGAATCAACCCAAGAAGATCTTCTCCAAGGCACATCATAACCAGACTGGCCAAATCTACAAAGACAAGATACTAAAATTGGCAAGAGAGAAACATCAGGTTACTTATAAAGATTAGCCAATCAGGTTAACCTCAGACCTCTCATCAGAAACAATGTGAGCAAGAAAAGAATGGGGAAATAGATTCAAAGTATTGAGTGAAAAACAGTTTTAACCAAGAATACTATACCAGCAAGATGATCTTTCATATGGAAAGAAAGAAAAAAACATTCTCAGATAAAAAAGACCTGAAAGAAATTGCCAATAGCAGACCCACTCTACAAGAAGTTCTGAAAGGAGTGCTCTACCAGGAAAACTAAAGACACATACGAAATAAGAAAACAAAAGGCAACCAAGAAAATGACCAATTTAATGCTAGAGACAAGAAATATCAATAATAATGTTGAATGTTAACTTCCAGGATTTAAATGGAAAGATTAGACCACAGTTAACACTGAATACTCAACAGAAGAGAGTTTGAACATAAGACTGAACTGGCAAAATAGAATTTTATGACTTTTGAATAAAACATTACAGATTTCTTTTTTTTACTATGCTTTATTTTCCCAATTTAAACATTTTACTTTCTTTTAAATTGTTGATAGGTTCAGCAATTTGTTAAAATATTTTTCTTGTTTATTTATTTAAATGGAAACATAAACTTTTCTTCCTTCCTGACCCCTCTTGAACTGAAAATATTTGGGAGTATTCTTATTTTTTTGGCAGAAGAGTTATTTGCATAAGTTCAATAACGTTTGTTGCATTGAATCAGAAATTGGAAATACTCATTATTGGACAGGGCTTTGACTGAAATGTCATACCTGAAGATTAACTTGTGTGCTAGGCATTTGCTTTTCAACAACTTGAGTAATTGACATGTAATTATTTTCTCAAAAATATTTTAAAACATATTGTCTCTGTTATTATAGAGTCGCAAACAAAATTATACAAAATGATAAGAAATATTTTGAACATTACCTTTAAAATTCAGTAGTTTGAAATTTCAAAAGTTATTTATTAACTGTCAAGAACTAGGGAGTGTGAGCAAAAAAAGTTTGATATGTCAAGTAAATGTTAGTGGAAAATGTAAAAATAAATAAATAAATGGGAAAAATTTTTACAAAGAAATTATTAACCTGCTTTTGCATAGAAATCCCCACTACCTCTCCTCTGCACCCCTCCTCATTTTCCATTGTAATCACCAAGTCAACCCAGAAAAGATTGTGATTCTTGCCTTGATAAGCACCCCTTTCCTTTCACTTGGGGTTGCAGGGTCTTTGAGAGACATGAGTCGCCCTTCAGCTGCTGGCTTTTGAATAAAGACTCCTATAACTTGGCTATAACTGCATGTCCTCTTCTTTCTCGCTGATCAGACTACAACATTTAGGGCAGCTGGATCCTACATGACTGATCTTGGATCCAGCAGCTTGAGAAACACACCAGGGACATGTGGATGCCAAAATTTCAAGAGGGGAATGGAGAAGAGATTGCAGCATGGCCATACACCCTGGGGGAGCTTTCTCACTTTCCTTCTTGTTCTCTGTCTTTCTCTGATGAGCACATGTACCCTGTAGTAAATTAAAACAACAACAACAAAAACAAAACAATAAACACAAACTATTAAATATACTTATTCATGCAAGATAATTGTTCTAGTGCAATCCTTTAGAAATTAGCACTCACTACTACTACTGCCTCGCTACTCATTCACTCCTTAATCCAAACTGGCCCCATATTTCAACCACTCTCTTAACTTTTTTTTTAAGAATTATTTTTTATTTAACTTTATTATTATTATTATTATTATTATTATTATTATTATTTTCCAGTTTGATCAAAGAGAAAGAGAGAGAGGGAAAGTGAGAAAGCAAGCCACCAGGTCCAGGACTTGAACCGCGGCAGGTCATGTGGGAGTGTCCAGTGCCCTAGCCACCCTGCCACCGCGCCACAGCCCCTCAACCACTCTTTTAACAATTTAACATACTTATTGTCATGTCTAATAAATGGACTTTATGCAGCACTCTTCCTTTCAAACATCTCAGCCACATTTCATACAATTGCTTCCCTCCTTCTTCTTCCTCACTCCTTTGACTTTGATAAAATTTAACTATTCTTGTCCTTTTGTTTCATTTGAATCTTTTCTTCCTTCCCTAATCTGCTGAACATTTGCTTCAGTGTTCAATCTGCTCTCTGCCATCTCCCTTTGCACCACCATCCATCATCCTATCAGGTTTCAGCCACATCCAGAGTGACACTGTCTCTAGCTCAGAACACTTATAACCTCCAGACCCAAACACGCACATGTATATGTCCACCTGTCTCTCCACCAACCTGTCCCTTCAACTCCTTCAACAGTTCCCTGGCAGAAATCCTTTTATTCTTCCCCTGAGACACCAACTCACATGATCAATTTCTATTCATGAAATACTAACCTTAAGCTCAACCTGACACAAAACTTCACGGTTGTTTAAGTTGTTCTTCTCCCTCAACCCAAACTTCAAATCATTCAAGCCTACACCATCTTTCTTTTTCTTTCTTTTTTTAGAGAGGTTTTTGCTATAGGGCACATGCGCTCGCCAGACAGAGAGAGACAGAAAAACAGAAAGCGAGAAATCACCCCCTGGGGGGATGGCCATGCCACACTCCCTTCTCCTCCATTCTCCTCTCGGGTTCTTGGGCACGCACACACGCGCCTGGCATGAGTTTTAAGCCACCAGGTCTGGGACGCAAACCTCGGTCGACGATATGGGAGTCCAGCAACATAGCCATTACTCTAACTGCTGGTCCCACCATCTTTCAAACCTCTACCTTCGTTCCCCAACCCTGTTCCTAACAAGTTACCAAGGTCATTTTCTGATATTATTTATGTATTTTTTTTTTTTGAGAGAGAGAGATTTTTGCTATTGGGCACCTGCTCTTACTAGAGAGATAAAGAGAGACAGAAAGAAAGTGAGAAATCACCTCCCAGGGGGATGACCATGCCACAGTCCCCTCTCCTCCATTCTCCTCTTGGGATTTTAGGCACCCATGCACACATGCCTGACGTTAGTTTTAAGACACTGGGTTTGGGACTCGAACCATGGGTGATTATGTGGGAGTCCAGCAACATAACCATTATACCATCTGCTGATCCCATTCTGATTGTATGCCCTCAAATTTATATGCCCAAAAAGGGAAGATACTGTGGTTTATGCACACAGAATCATCCTTCAGCTACACCATTAACTGCTGGAAGAGTAGGAGGCCCTCGGCTCTATACTTTTTATAAGCAAGGGATTTAGAGGTAGAAATCTGGCTGCAGGAAAAGGAAAAGCGCTGGTAATTTCATGTGAAGCAAGGTCTGCATGGTTAACACACTGTTTTCAGTTAGGCCACTTAGGTGCCTTCAGGACTCGGATGGAGATTTTAAGGACTATAAAAACCCCAACGGGGAACCAGCAGTTAGCGTAATGGCTATGTCGCTGGACTCCCACGCAGTCGACTGCGGTTTGCGTCCCGGACCCGGTGGCTTAAAACTCACGCCGGGCGCGTGTGCGTGCATGCCCAAGATCCCAAGAGGAGAATGGAGGAGAAGGGATTGCGGCGTGACCATCCCCCTGGGGGGTGATTTCTCGCTTTCTGTATCTCTGTCTCTGTCTGTCTGGCGAGCACACGCACCCTATAGCAAAAACCTCTCCAAAAAAACCAAACAAACAAAAAACCCAACGATCTCACAATCGCGGCGTGACCATCCCCCTGGGGGGTGATTTCTCGCTTTCTGTATCTCTGTCTCTGTCTGTCTGGCGAGCACACGCACCCTATAGCGAAAACCTCTCCAAAAACAAACAAAAAAACCCAACGAACTCACAATCTCTTAGCACTGTCTCAGCTGGTGAGCACATAGCCTAAAAGCTAATTTTATTAAGGGAAGGCCAGGGATAAAGCCATCTTCTAGGGATGGTGAAGGAGCCCTCTACATTTTCCTAGAGACGCAGCCCGTCTCCAGTAACTCTAGCTCAGAGGGATGTCGGGAAGTCTCTCCTTGGGCTGGCTCCTTAGCACAGTGTTTAGACATTGTGCGCAGGGAGTGGATCCCACAAGGTCTCTCCTTCTTTTCTCCCTTCTTTTCATAGTCCCCTACCCATCTGCCTTCTTCTTGCTAGGGCCACCTCCCAATCCTCTCAGCCTGTGGGCTGTGTGCAAAAAGAGACAAAAGGAAACTGCCCAGCTCAAGAGGAAGCATCTTCATCTGACTGCATAGTTCTGATGCATTATTCTAAAGACACTTGATCTCTTTTCTCCATTTCACCATTTTCTACTATTCTAATTTGGAATAATCCCGAATTCTTAAAGGGGAAAGAAAGCACCCAGGAGGGGCAAGGACTTTAAAAACCCATTCTGCAATTCACATAGTTCCACAAAATTCCACACAGTGACTACTAGCTCAAATAAATATTTGATATGTAAACTAACAAATACGTTCTCTGTAAAGATTCATGGATGAAACGGAAGTAGTCAAAAAATAAAACTCCACAAACATATTAAATTCTAATTAATGTGTAATGCCTTATAAAATACAATAAAAGAATTGACTCTTCTTTTTCTCCTTGAGTTAATGGTGCCTTCCTAATGAATCTAGGCTGTTAATGAATTTGGCTCAGCTCTAGTAAAATCAATGAAGCATTTCTATCAAATCAGTATTCAGAGTATGTCTCCATTGATTTCAGCATAATATTGTACTTAATATGTGAACTACCAAAACACAGTTATTTACAACTTAGTGCGCAAAAGTCCCTCACTTGAAAAGATTAAGAAAAGTGCTGATGTGACAGAGACACCCAAAATACAGAGTTCTACATGGCATCAGATAGGATGTCAATCCTTATATTATGCCAGCCATTTTAGTAAACCATATTCTACATTTCCACTAAATAAGCTAATTAGAATAAATGTTAAAGAGCTGAGATTGGATATGTTTGGTTGGCAACACCTATTCTTCCACTGCCCAAATTCAGCATTCATTTGTAGGAGCCAGATGGAGCATGGGAACCGAAAAACAGTTTCATGCATGAATTCCTGGGTCCAAAGAGAAAGAAACGCAAAGGATAGTACCTCGTCCATTTTATAGCCTGCCCAGAGACTCCGAATGAACAGTCATATATTATAGAAAAGGGCTGCAGGAGAAGGTAGACGTGGCTGTTTACACAAGGAACTTCATGAGACTGGTGCTCAGGTTAGCAACGTTCAGGGCAGAGCTGGGAAAAGGGCACTTTATCATTTCTGCAAATAACACAGCATGGCTCCAATGTTGTAGCAAAAATGGAGAGGAATCCAGTCGTATTTGTCAATTTGGAGATTTTGCAGCTTTGGGAGCATTTTAAGAAAACACACTGGGGATCCCCACACCGAGTGAAACAAGAATCCATGTGTGTCTGAGGTGGGCCCCGCCCTGCCCCTTTAACCAGAAAGCCTAAGCCTCTGCCCCAAACGTCTCCTTCCAGCCCAGCACCGAACGAAGCGAGAATCCATGTGCATCTGAGGGCATACACACTCACCAGAGAAAGACAGAGAAAGAAAAGAGCCAGAAAGTGAGAAAGTAAGCAGCCAGGTCTAGGACTCGAACCCTAGTCAGCCATGTGAGTCCCGCACCTCAACCACATGCCACCTGTTGCCCCCTCTACTCCACATCTGAGTGTGAGGATCTCCAGGGCTTAGTCATGGGCCCCGTATCCTTTAGGTTTTTTTCTCACTCTTATCTATTTGAATTCTACCCTCATGCTATTAATTCCTACATTTTCATTTCCACTGCACATACTGCTTCTAAGCTTGTGCATCCAAATCCATCTTTGTTATCTCTGCCTCCATGAATCACAGGCATCACAAAGCTAATAGCTTTCTTTTTAAGATCTCTTTTCTCCATTTCACCATTTTCTACTATTCTAATTTGGAATAATCCCGAATTCTTAAAGGGGAAAGAAAGCACCCAGGAGGGGCAAGGACTTTAAAAACCCATTCTGCAATTCACATAGTTCCACAAAATTCCACACAGTGACTACTAGCTCAAATAAATATTTGATATGTAAACTAACAAATACGTTCTCTGTAAAGATTCATGGATGAAACGGAAGTAGTCAAAAAATAAAACTCCACAAACATATTAAATTCTAATTAATGTGTAATGCCTTATAAAATACAATAAAAGAATTGACTCTTCTTTTTCTCCTTGAGTTAATGGTGCCTTCCTAATGAATCTAGGCTGTTAATGAATTTGGCTCAGCTCTAGTAAAATCAATGAAGCATTTCTATCAAATCAGTATTCAGAGTATGTCTCCATTGATTTCAGCATAATATTGTACTTAATATGTGAACTACCAAAACACAGTTATTTACAACTTAGTGCGCAAAAGTCCCTCACTTGAAAAGATTAAGATAAGTGCTGATGTGACAGAGATACCCAAAATACAGAGTTCTACATGGCATCAGATAGGATGTCAATCCTTACATTATGCCAGCCATTTTAGTAAACCATATTCTACATTTCCACTAAATAAGCTAATTAGAATAAATGTTAAAGAGCTGAGATTGGATATGTTTGGTTGGCAACACCTATTCTTCCACTGCCCAAATTCAGCATTCATTTGTAGGAGCCAGATGGAGCATGGGAACCGAAAAACAGTTTCATGCATGAATTCCTGGGTCCAAAGAGAAAGAAACGCAAAGGATAGTACCTCGTCCATTTTATAGCCTGCCCAGAGACTCCGAATGAACAGTCATATATTATAGAAAAGGGCTGCAGGAGAAGGTAGACGTGGCTGTTTACACAAGGAACTTCATGAGACTGGTGCTCAGGTTAGCAACGTTCAGGGCAGAGCTGGGAAAAGGGCACTTTATCATTTCTGCAAATAACACAGCATGGCTCCAATGTTGTAGCAAAAATGGAGAGGAATCCAGTCGTATTTGTCAATTTGGAGATTTTGCAGCTTTGGGAGCATTTTAAGAAAACACACTGGGGATCCCCACACCGAGTGAAACAAGAATCCATGTGTGTCTGAGGTGGGCCCCGCCCTGCCCCTTTAACCAGAAAGCCTAAGCCTCTGCCCCAAACGTCTCCTTCCAGCCCAGCACCGAACGAAGCGAGAATCCATGTGCATCTGAGGGCATACACACTCACCAGAGAAAGACAGAGAAAGAAAAGAGCCAGAAAGTGAGAAAGTAAGCAGCCAGGTCTAGGACTCGAACCCTAGTCAGCCATGTGAGTCCCGCACCTCAACCACATGCCACCTGTTGCCCCCTCCACTCCACATCTGAGTGTGAGGATCTCCAGGGCTTAGTCATGGGCCCCGTATCCTTTAGGTTTTTTTCTCACTCTTATCTATTTGAATTCTACCCTCATGCTATTAATTCCTACATTTTCATTTCCACTGCACATACTGCTTCTAAGCTTGTGCATCCAAATCCATCTTTGTTATCTCTGCCTCCATGAATCACAGGCATCACAAAGCTAATAGCTTTCTTTTTAAGTTTATTTTATTTATTATTATTATTTTAATTTACTATAGGGCACATGTGCTCACCAGAGGGAGACAGTGGGAATGAGAGTGATGAGACAGAGAGAAAGCCACCAGGTCCAGGACTCGAACCATGGTTATTCACGTGGGAGTCCAGTACCTTTACCACCACACCACCTGATGGTCCCAAATCTAGTAAGTTTTAAATGAAATTCAGAATTCCCAGCCCTGTGGTATAATAAAGAATTTGTCTGGTCTTTGTTCAGAAAAAAAAAAAATACACTGGGTAGAGTCAGCCAAGTTGACATAGTGGTTAAGGCAGTTGGATCCCACATGATTAATTGCATGGTTCAAGTCCCAGACCCAGCACTTTGAAAAACATGTTCAGGTGCATGTGCATACATGCCCAAAATCCAGAGAGGAGGCTGGAGGAGAAGAAATTGTGGAGTGCTTATCCTCCCTCGGGGATGCTCTCTTATTTTCTCTCTTTCTCTCCCTCTCTGTCTCTCTCCAGCAAGTGCAAGTACCCTATGGCAATTTAAAAAGAAAGGAACAAAGTATGCTGGGTAGAGAAGCCGCCTTTCCACAAAGGCAACTCTACAGCAGGCTGAGCCAGCTCTGAAAGAGGAGACTTGAATAGATAGCATCAGAGTAATTTTGTGACCAGGTATGAATCCCAGGAATGGCTGGGACTTTTAGAGGTTGTGCAGGTGGGGCTCAACCAGCTAACAAAAATAAAGATACAAGATAACACAGCCTCATTTATAACTGATTTGGGGGACATTTGAAATATAGTCTTATCATAAACGTGTAAGTTGCCATCTTTCTGATTCAAAGTTAGCTATTCTAATTTCAGATTATTAGAGTATTTATTTACGATAAGTGTGCACTCACAAGAGAGTGAGAGGGAGAGAGAGATGAGCATCCTCTGCAGGGTCTGGTCATGCCAAGATTCTCTTCTTCTAGTCCTCCAGCCTAACAGATCTTGGGTACTCACATGGATGCCCATCATGTCTCAGGTTGGCTATGCTGGGGATTCAAACCATGGTGGCCATGTGGGATCCAGCTTTTTTTTTTTTTTTCCCTTTACAAATAGGGCTTTTTATTTGTCACTATTAAAAGTCTGAACTTTGACTTTCCTGACGAAGACATCGTGGAGAGGGTAGATGGACTGGCAGGCCTTTTCTATGTCTTTTCCGATGCTGTCTGGAATCAGTTATTGACCACTTCTTTCAAGTCATTTGTCTGCACCTCCTGGGTCATGATTTCCATCATCTTCTTCCAGATTTGGTGGACCTGCTGATGCTGGGCATAAGAGGTCTTCCGAATCTGATTGTTGTGTTTTTTAGCAAACCCAACACAGAAGAGACGAAGCAAATAACCACGGGTAGTCTTGACATTGACATGAGCTTCAGTCATGGGCTGGCATTTTTCGACCATGGAACACATTTTGTCATGGGTGAGATCCATGCCATGGAAGTTAGTCAGGCAGTTTTTGCCCTGAACGTCCTCAGTAATTAGCTTGAATTTCCTAAATGCGACTTCGTCCTTCTGCAGATCTGCAAGGCTCACTTCAAACACACGGCCCTTAAGGTCGTTGGACATAATTTTGGTTCCTTGAGTCCTGGTAACCAGTGTCTTCCCAATATTTCTTATGTTGAACATAGCAGGTGCTTTCACATCATACCAATCTTTTTTAGAAAATGGATCGACCACTTTCTTCTTGGCTCCCTTTTTGCCACCTTTCATAAGGCGCTTATTCTTGCCGACTGCCATGGTGCTACTAAGAGAGCCAAAAGGGCGGGATCCAGCTCCTCTTGAGAACACATTACTGCTACACCATGAAGAGGCTCTAATTTGTGTGTGTGTGTGTGTGTGAGAGAGAGAGAGAGAGAGAGAGAAAGAGAGAGAGAGATTTCTCTTAGAAGTCTAAAAATTTCAGGAATTTGAACACCAGAATATCACTCTTCATTTGATCCAGCTCTCTCTTTTCTTGGTTATTAATCTAACCCTAATAGAAATAAATATTTATCGGGAACTTGATTTAAAAAAAAAAACACTGTGGAAGAAGAAAAAAGAAAGAGTCTTCTTTTAATGAACACAAACTGTATGCGGGGACACGAGATGACACATAAAGGACAATTAGAAAGGAGATCAAGAATATATGTTTAGGGACCAGCAGTTAGAGTAATGGCTATGTCGCTGGACTCCCATGTAGTCGACCGTGGGTCAAGTCCCAGACCTGGTGGCTTAAACTCACGTCAGGCACATGTGCATGCGTGCCCAAGATCCCGAGAGGAGAATGGAGGGGAAGAGATTGTGGCGTGGCCATCCCCCCTGGGGGTGATTTCTTGCTTTCTATCTCTCTGTCTCTCTCTGTCTTTCCAGCGAGCACACATCGCGCCCTATAGCAAAAACCTCTCAAAACAAAAACAAAAACAAAAACAAAAAAACCATGTGTTTAAATGTACATCACATACTTCTGGAAGACTATGTAAGGACAGTGGTTTCCTCAGCAGGGACTGAAAGATGAGAGTAGATAGGACACATTCTTTTTTACTCTTAACCATTTGCCCGGTTTGAACTTTTTTGCCATGTACTTCTGTTACCCTTTTGAGACCAAAATAATTGAGTTACGTTTCTCTAAAGTACAGGAGCAAGAATTATATCCTAGTTATAACCTGAACAAATGTATAGGTCTGTGCTCAGACAAACTTGGCATTGCTAATCAACCTAAGCCAATTAAGCCTTTCAGAATTGTCTGGTTCTTTTGGGTAGATGTCTGTAATCTCTGACACTCACGAGTAAATGGGAACCATATCCACAGTCCTACTGACAGGTAGGATGTTACGATGAAAGAAAACCTCAGACCAAATATTGTGACACAAACAAATCACTATTAGTAAGAAGGCACTAAAAATGCAATACAACGCTTGAGTTTGAAGTCAAACTTCAGCACTCAACCATCTATCTTACAAGAATGGTGAATGTGGAAATATTTTAGCAGCAGATTCAGCTAGTCTGATTGAATCAGAAAGCAGAATCTTCCATTAAGTGTTAGAGTGCTAGATCAAATGGAACCCTCAACCGGGCACTTCTTCAAAGAATTTTAGGCCAATGGATTCCCTAATTCTTACTAATAGATGACATTATGATGCAATCTGGTGATGCACATTTATAGAGGTATCTGCATATTATTTCTTGTCTTAAATACCATTTATTTCACCTACAAAAATGATTTGTAACAGAGGCAACACAATATAATGATAAAGAATGTAGGCCCTTTGCCAGCAGGTGGCATGGTGGTAGGGCACTGGAATCCCACATGGCCAACCGCGGTTCAAGTCCCTGACCTGGTGGCTTAAAAATCACACAGGATGTGTGTGCGTGCATGCCCAAAGTCCCAGGAGGAGAATGAAGGAGGAGGGACTGTGGAGTGGCTATCCTCCCTAGGGGGTGATTTCTCACTTTCCCTCTCACTGTCTCTCTCCTTTCTGGCAAACACACACACCCTATGGGAAAAAACAACAACAACAACAACAACAAAGCACTGATATTTGTGAAGTGCTTAGATCAGTGTCTAGCATGTAGTAAGTACTCTATGAGTACTTCTTAATGTATTAAATTAGCAACCTTTATGCTAATTAATAAACTCTCCAATGAAGATTCTGATAATGACATCAGGTTTTCTAACAACCTCTCAGAACAAAAGGAAGGTATCACTGCTCATTATAAAATGCTAGGGTGACATCTGGCCATCTTCATGTTATGCTATAGTAGCTAGGGTGTGAAGAACTGGTTATAAAATTGCTAATACTCTGGTTACTGCTATTTCTGTGAATAATAAACTGTCCTTCATCTCTGACCAACAGTCTTCTTCCAGCAGCTGTGAAATTGTAGCAAGAGAACTCACTAACATGCAAATGAGTAAAATCTCAGCCCTTTATATTCTTGACAATATTACAAGTATGTTACAGGGCCAGTCAGGGATGTGGTGGTTAAGGAGGCTGTGTTCAACATGGCTGACCATACGGTTTAAGTCCCAGACCCCGTGACCTGAAAAACATGCTTAGAGTGTGCACATGGGTCCCCAGAATCCTGAGGAGAATGAAGGAGAAGGGGTTTCAGTGTGGCCAACTGTGCTTTCTCACTTTCTCTCTCTAGCTAGCACATGCACACTGTAGCAATTTTTTTTTTTATAAAGTGTGTTATAAACAAGCTTATGTCAACAAATCAGAAAACTTAGATGACATCAACAAATTTCTTGGAAGATATAACCTATCAAATCTCTTCCTGACATTGAAAAGACAAAATTGTCTTAGGTTACCAAAAACACTATTCATAAAAGGAAAAATAAATAAATTTGACTTCAACAAAATTTTAATTTTTGCTTTTGGAAATACATTATTAATAAAATGAAAAGGCAAGACACAGACAGGGAAAAAAATGTGTATGGTTGATATACCTCAAGAACTACTTGCACCCAGAATACATAAAGCATGCTTCCAGCTCAACATAAAGTTAAACGACTTAACTTTTTCTTAAGTGGGTCAAGTATTTAAACAAAAACTTCTCAAAAGATGCACAAATGGCAAGAAACACATGAAAGAATTCCCTACATCACTAGCCTTCAGGGACATGAAAAAGAAAACCATAATGAGCTATAACACTATATGTCTCCATAATGGCTAAAGTTAAAAAGACTGACAATACCACCTGTTGCCCAAAATGTGAAATAAAAGGAAAATTCATATATTTCTGATGGGATGGTGAAATTGTATCCTCCCTTTGGAAAGCAGTTCAGTAGTTTCTTATGAAGTTAAATGTGTATCATCATATGACTCACAATTTCTACTCCTAGGTATTTTCTCAAGAGACATAAAAATGTTTCATAGCAGTTTTATTTAAAATAGTCAAAAAAAGAGAAACAAATCACATTAAAAAGTGAATGCAGGGGCCAATAGATGGCATGGTGGTTAAGGGCACTGGACTCCTCCCTGGCTGACCATGGTTTGAGTCCCAGACGTGGCGGCTTGTTTTCTCACTTTCTCTTTCTCTCTCTCGCTCACTCTGTCCCTCAAATTAAAATAAATAAGTAAATAAAGTGAAATAAAATAATTCTTAAAAAAAAAAAAAGTGAATGCAGGGACCAGCAGATGGCAGAATGGTTATGTTACTAGACTCCCACATAGTCAACCATGGTTTGAGTCCCAGATCCGGCCGCTTGAAATTCACACCAGGTGCATGTGCATTTGTGCTCAAAATCCTGAGCAGAAAAATGGAGGCGAAAGGATTGTGGTGTGACCATCCCCCCTGGGGAGGGGGTGATTTCTCGCTTTTTGTCTCTCTGTCTCTCTCTGTCTCTCCTGCCAGCGCACAAGCCCTATAGGAAAAAATCTCTTTTAAAAAAAAGTGAATGGAAAAACAAATTATACTGTATCCGTACAACTGAATATTCTTTAACATTGAAAGAAAAGGCCCACTAAAATATATCAAAACCATAATGCTGAGCAAAAGAAGCCAAAAACTAAAGCAAACATACTATCAGATTGTTGGAAAAGTCCTGATACATTTTTGCATATAAAATGCACATTGTGACTTTCCTGACAACCCAAGATATGGTTCATTTATATGAAATTCTACAACAAGCAAAACTAACCTATAGTGACAGAAATCAGATTGCTGAGTCTTTGAAAAGAGGACTGACGATAAAGAGGTGTGAGTAAAGCTTTTGGAGTTATAGAAAAATTATATACCTTATTTAGAATGATGATTATAGGTAAATTAAATACACACACAGTTGTGTACACATATACACGTATGTTAAAACTCATCAACCTGTATTCTTAAATTATTGCATTATTGCATTTTATTTTATATTAATTATACTGAAAGTGATTTTTCTTTAAAATCGTGATTCCTTTCACTAGCTATAAAAGATTTAATGGGTTTTAACCTAATTGATACATCTAAAAAATCCTAATAATACTATCTACCTTACTGTACTGGCAAGAGAATTATATTAAATAATTCATATAGACCATTTAGAACAATGCCTGGCTCATAGTAAGAACAGTAGGTAATAATATAAACTGAGTAATTGCTGAGAGGTTAAGAGTAGTATGGATGCTGTTTTCCTTTAAGTTTCCTTGGGGAGGTGATTTCTGAGACAGCCATTCAAGAAAGATATGTATTATTAGGGAGAGAATTCCATA